TCACCGTTTGATGATATGATCATATACTTAGAAAATCCTAAAGACTCATCCAAATAGCTCCTAGATTCAATAAACAAATTCAGTCAAATTCACACAAAATCAATGTACACAAATCAGTAGCTCTGCTATATACCAGCAGCAACCAAGCTGAGAATCAAATCAAGGACTCAATCCTTTTACAATAGCTGCAAAACAAAAAACAAAATACTTCAGAATATATATAACCAAAAATGTGAAAGACTTCTACAAAGAAAACTACAAAACACTGCTGAAAGAAATCATAGAAGACACAGTCAAATGGAAACACATTCTGTGCTCATGGATTGGTAGAATTAATATAGTGAAAATGGCCGTACTGCCAAAAGCAATCTACAAATGTAATGTGAGTCCCATCAAAATGACATCATGATTCTTCACAGAACTAGAAAAACCAAACTGAAAATTCATATAGAATCAAAAAAGATCCTGCACAGCGAAAGGAAGCCTAACCAAAAAGAACAAATCTGGAAGCATCACATTACAGCACAAACTATACTACAACGCTATAGTCAGCCAAACAACGTGAAACTAGTATAAAAATAGACACATATACTTATGGAACAGAATAGAGAACCAATAAATGAAGCCAAATTACAACCAACTGATCTTTAACAAAGCAAACAAAAACATAAAGTGGGAAAAGAACACCCTATTCAACAAATGTTGCTGGGATAATTGGCAAGCCACACGTAGAAGAATGAAACGGGATCCTCATCTCCACCTTATACAGAAATGAACTCAAGGCAGATCAAAGACTTAAATCTAAGACCTGATAGCATAAAAATTCTAGAAAATAACATCGGAAAAACTCTGTTAGACATTGGCTTAGGCAAAGAGTTCATGACCAACAACCCAAAAGCAAATGCAACAACAACGAAGATAAATAGATGGGATTGAATTAAACTAAAAAGCTTCTGCACCGAAAATGAAATAATCAGCAGAGTAAACAGAAAACTCACAGAGTTGGAGAAAATATTCACAAACTATGTCTCCGAAAAAACACTGATATCCAGCATTCACCCACCAAAAAGCAGACTAAGAACATGAACAGACAATCTCAAAAGAAGATATACAAATAGCCAACAAACATGAAAAAATGTTCAACATCACTAATCATCAAAGAAATGTAAACCAAAACCACTATGAGCTACCACCTTATTCCTGCAAGAATGGTCATAATCAGGGGCCGGGCGCGGTGGCTCAAGCCTGTAATCCCAGCACTTTGGGAGGCCGAGGCGGGTGGATCACGAGGTCAAGAGATCGAGACCATCCTGGTCAACATGGTGAAACCCCGTCTCTACTAATGGTGCAAAAAATTAGCTGAGCATGGTGGCGCATGCCTGTAATCCCAGCTACTCAGGAGGCTGAGGCAGGAGAATTGCTTGAACCCAGGAGGCGGAGGTTGCGGTGAGCCAAGATCACGCCATTGCACTCCAGCCTGGGTAACAAGAGCGAAACTCCGTCTCAAAAAAAAAATAAGAATGGTCATAATCAAAATGTAAAAAAAAAGTAGATGTTGGTGTGGATGTGAAGAAAAGAGAACAATTTTACATTTCTGACAGGAATATAAACTAGCACAACCACTATGGGAAACAGTATGGAGATTGCTTAATGAACTAAATGTAGATTTATCATTTGATCCAGCAATCCCATTCCTGCGTATGTAGCCAGAGGAAAAGAAGTCATTATATGAAAAAGATACTTGCATGCACATGTATATACCAGCACAATTCACAATTGTAAAAATATGGAACCAGCCTAACCTGCATATATATATATATATATATATATATATATATATATATATATACACACACACACACATACCATGAACTACTACTCAGCCATAAAAAGGAATGAAATAATGGCATTCACTGCAACCTGGATGGAGCTGGAGACCATTATTCTAAATGAAGGTAACTCAAGAATGGAAAACCAAATATCATATGCTCTCACTTATAAGTGGGAACTAAGCTATGAGGATGGAAAGATGTAAGAATCCTACAGCGGACTTTGGGAATTCAAGGGGAGGGGCAAGAGGAAGGTGAGGGATAAAAAAGTACACATTGTGTACGGTGTACACTACTCGGGTGATGGGTGCACCAAAATCTCAGAAATCACTACTGGAGAACTTATCTATGTAACCAAACACCACCTCTTCCCCAAAAACCATTGAAGTAAAACCATAATTCACAAAAATAAAATAAATAAAAATTTTAAAATGAAAAATGAATTGTTTTCAAAAGAAATGAATGCTTGCATAGTTTTTGCATAACTGTGAAAGATGAATACCCACAATTACATGAAAAAGCTGTTAAAATCCTCCCAGTACTGGGCATGGTAGCTCTCACATGTAGTCCCAGCTAATGGGAAGGCTGAGAGGAGAGAATTCTTTGAGCCTTGAAGTCCCAGGCTGCAGTGAGCTGTGATGGTGCCGTTGCACTCCAGCCTGGATAACAGAGTGAGACAGTGTCTCTAAATCAACAGCAATAATAATAATCCTCCCTTTTTCAGCTGAATATTTGCCTAAGGCTAGATTTTTAAAAAATACACCCTTCAATCAAAATAACAGAATGGCTGGGATGCAACTAGAGGCCATAATCCTAAGTGAATTAGTGTAGGAACAGAAAACCAAATACTGCATCTTCTCACTTATAATTGGGAGCTAAACACTGAGCACACATGGACATAAACATGGGAACAACAACACTGCAGATGACTAGAGTGGGGAGAGTGGGAACATGGATTAAAAAACTACCTATGGGTATATGCTCACTACCCGAATGACAGGAGCCATGCCCCAAACCTCAGCAGCAGACAACATATTCATGTCGCAAATCTGCACATGTACCCCCATATCTAAAATAAAAGTTAAAATTTAAAAAATAAGAGAACATATCATATGAGACAAACAAGAATGACAGCTGCAAAAATGTGAAATGATCACTCTTCTTGTTATCAAAAATCTAAGTCTATCAGAGGTCTTCAAACCAGAGCGACTCCATCTTGAATGACGGCTAGGAAGAATGAGGCTAGGACTTGCTGGGCCACATTCCCAGGAGGTTGGGCGTTCCTAGCCTCTAGCTTATGGTTAAGGGAACAGATTGATAATGTTTACTGAATAGTCCAGACTCAAGAATGTCCTGATATTCTGATATCTTGAGAACAGATGCCTTCCTAATTTTGCTTTAAAGACAATAATACTTATTCTTTTTTTTTTTTTTTTTTTTTTTTGAGACGGAGTCTTGCTCTGTCACCAGGCTGGAGTGCAGTGGTGCAATCTCAGCTCACTGCAACCCCCGCCTCCTGGGTTCAAGCGATTCTTCCACCTCAGCCTCCCGAGTAGCTGGAACCACAGGCACGTGCCACCAAGCCTGGCTAATTTTTTTGTATTTTTAGTAGAGACGGGGTTTCACCATGTTGGCCAGGATGGTCTCAATCTCTTGACCTCATGATCCGCCCACCTCAGCCTCCCAACAATACCTATTCTCACAAAATATAGTAATTAAAAAAATTAATCCTTTATTAAAAACCTTTGTAGCAGAGCACATCTCCCCATGATTTTTGTTATCCTATATATAAACACGCATTGTACCTAGAATGCGTGTGTTCCTCCTCTTCCTTTCCAGAACGACCTACTCTGTATAAAGTAGCTGTTCTTTCACTCCTTTTCTTTCTTAATGAACTTGCTTTCAGTTTGCACTGCCGACTTGCCCTGAATTCTTTCCTGTGGGACATCTAAGAACCTTGCCTTGGGAGTCTGGATCGGGACTTCTTTCTGGTAACAGCTCCAGAAGGTGAGATCTTTCCCCATTGGGAGTTGCAGAGCCAATGCATGAAACCAAAATTCAGCATCAAGAAGAACAAGTTTTATTTCCTGGCCAGGAAATGAAAAGGTGGGAACGGCTCTGGCAAATCAACTTCTCAGCTAGCAAAGGGTGAGGGGGTAGAAATATAAGTTTGCTCTAATGAAGGGGTTGGGAATTAAAAATAAGGGGAGGAATGATCCTGTATTTTATGAGAAGAGGGGGTGGGTGAACTTCTCTCAACCAGTAATACTGCCTTCCTTTTTACCCTTTTAGGACTTCTTCCAGTAAATGTTATGGAGATTGCCGATTGTCATGGTGTTGGTGAGAGCGCCATTTAGCACAGAAACAGGATCATAATGAAGCCTGAGATCTTTTTTAGGTCGTTCGGCCAGCTGTCTTCATTCTAACCAGTTTCAGCTCGTTTGATTGCAAAAGCAACTTCTTGAAGCAGGTCCGATTTTTCAAAATAAGTAGAGTCAAGACCAGGTGCAGTGGCTCAGGCCGGTAGTCCCAGCACTTTGGGAGGTGGAGGCCGGCAATCGCTTGAGTCCAGGAGTTCCAGACCACCCTCAACAATACGGTGGAACTCCATCTCTACAAAACATTCAAAAATCAGTTGGGCGTGGTGGCGTGGGCCTGCAGTCCCAGCTACACAGGAAGCTGAGGTTGGAGACCGAGATATCAAGGCCTGAGCCCAGGAGATCAAGGCTCCAGTGAACTAAGATTCCACCACTGCACTCCAGCCTGGCCAACAGAGTGAGATCCTGTCAAAACAAACAAACAAAAAACCCCACTGATTTAAACAGTTCCTGGGCCAGATCTCAGGGAGACAGTGTGAGAAAGAGCACTCGGGGCAGGAGGAAAAGGAGCAGGACAAAGTTCCGGGTCCCCGGGAGTGGCTCTCAGGGTCTCAGACCCTGAGGGCAGAGTCTGCGGATTGGGAAACCCAGCGTAGAGGATTCCACACTCCCAGGAGTTTCACTTCTTGCTCTCCAAACTGGTGTCTGGTCCTTCTTCCTGGACTTCTAGGCTTTAGTTCTCATTCCCATTGGGTGTCAGGTTTCTAGAGAAGCCAATCAGCGGTCACTAAGATTCCCCGCTATAAAGTCCCCATGCACCCACCAGGACTCAGACCCTCCCCAGATCCCAAGGATGGGGGTCATGGCGCCACGAACCCTCCTCCTGCTGCTTTCCACGGCCTTGCTGCTGACCAAGACCTGGGTGGGTGAGTGCGGGGTGGGGAGGAGCAAGGGGCCCGCCCGGTGGGGATGCAGAACCCTGGAAACCGCATCAACGCCCCCTCTCCCGCCCCAATCCCTTCCCGCCCGTCGTCTTCCTCTATTTTGCCCTTCAGGAGGGACTCGAGCCAGACTCCGCCCCTTCTTGCCCGCAGACTCCCACTCCCTGAGGTATTTCTACACCGCCGTGTCCCGGCCCGGCCGCGGGGAGCCCCGTGTCATCGCCGTGGGCTACGTGGACGACACGCAGTTCGCGCGATTCGACAGCGACGCCGCCAGTCCGAGGATGGAGCCGCGGGCGCCGTGGGTGGAGCAGGAGGGGCCGGAGTATTGGGAGGAGGAGACACGGACAGCCCTGGACACCGCCCAGAATTTCCGAGTGAAACTGCGGACCCTGCTCCGCTACTACAAGCAGAGCGAGGCGGGTGAGTGACCCCGGCCCTGTGTGCCAGCACTCACTCTTTTGTAAACCGCCTGTGACAATGAAGAACAGATTTACCACCTTCATGACTGTGGTAATGGGGACCTGATTCCAGCCGTCACAGGTCAAGGGAAGGTCCCTGCTGAGGACAGACCTCAGGAGGGCAGTTGGTCCAGGACCCACATCTTTCTTCATGTTCCTGATCCTGCCCTGGGTCTGCAGTCCCAGTTCTGGAAACTTCTCTGGGGTCTAAGCCTGGGGGATTCCTCTAGGGCCTCACGGTCCTGCCTCTTCCCTGGTCACCACCCTTCCTCATCCCCTACAGACGGCCTGGGTCCCCTCGAGGCTCCGGATCCAAGATCCACCTTGAGGCTGTGGGACCCACCTAGACCCTCCACCCACCCAAGAGAGCTGCAGGCTCCTTTACCCGGTTTCATATTCAGTTTAGGCCAAAATCACCGAGGGTTGGCGAGGCAGGGGCGGGGCTGACAGCGGGGGTGGGGCCCGGGGGCAGGGCCCAGGGGCGGGGCTGACCGCGGGGGCGGGGCTCGGGGCGGGGCTGACGGCGGGGTGGGGCCGGGGGCGGGGCCCGGGGGCGGGGCTGACAGCGGGGGCGGGGCCAGGGTCTCACACCTACCAGGGAGTGTTTGGCTGCGACCTGGGGGCCCACGGGCGCCTCCTCCGCGGGTATTACCAGTTCGCCTACGACGGCAAGGATTACATCGCCCTGAATGAGGACCTGCGCTCCTGGTCCGCCGCGGACCTGGCGGCTCAGATCACCAAGCGCAAGTGGGAAGGACAGAAACACGCGGAGGAGGTCAGGGCCTACCTGGAGGGCAAGTGTGTGGAGCGGCTCCGCAGATACCTGAAGAAAGGGAATGAGACACTGCAGCGCGCGGGTAAGAGGGGCCACGGGACAAGTCTCCCGTCTCCTTCTTAGACTGGAACTGTGCCCACAGCTGATAGACCTCAAAGAATAGAAGAAACAGGGATGGAGGCCAGAATGCCACTCCTTTCTTGGATCAGGAGAGGGAGCTGTCACCCTGGGTACTGGAGATCCTGTACCAAAGAGTGACTCTTAAAGGGCCAGCCCCCTCTCAGGGGCAATTAAGGACTCTAGTCTCGCTGGAGATTCCATCCCTCAAATGAACTGATAGGTAGTTCTCTTTGACTCTTAGTGTTAGGGATCATGGGGGACTTTCTCTCCTGCCTGGTTCTCAGCCCCACACCAAGTGTCTGTGGAGGTTTGACTTCAGCTTTTCTCAGTCACTCAGCATCCACTCAGGCCAGGACCAGAAATCCCTTTTCACCTTCTATCCTGGGCTATCTCACCCCAATTCTAGAACTTTCCAAGGAATACAAGGCTATCCCAGACCCCTAAGTCCAGGCTGGTGTCTAGGTTTTGTGCTCTCCTACTCTAATTGTCCTCTTCATTCTCAGGATGGTCACACAGGCACTGCTGGACTGTCCCATGAGAGATGCAAAGTGCCTGAATTTTCTGACTCTTCCCCTCAGATCCCCCAAAGACACATGTGACCCACCACCACGCCTCTGACCATGAGGCCACCCTGAGGTGCTGGGCCCTGGGCTTCTACCCTGCGGAGATCACACTGACCTGGCAGCGGGATGGGGAGGACCTGATCCAGGACACGGAGCTTGTGGAGACCAGGCCGGCAGGGGATGGAACCTTCCAGAAGTGGGCAGCTGTGGTGGTGTCTTCTGGAGAAGAGCAGAGATACACGTGCCATGTGCAGCACGAGGGGCTGCTGGAGCCCCTCACCCTGAGATGGGGTAAGGAGGGGCATGGGTAAGGAGGGGGGATGGGGGGTCACGTCACTTCTCCAGGAAAGCAGGAGCCTGTCTGCATCCCTTCAACAGGGTCAGGGCTGAGGCCTGGGGGTCAGGGCCCCTCATCTTCTCCTCCTTTCCCAGAGCCATCTTCCCAGCCCACCATTTCCATCGTGGGCATCGTTGCTGGCCTGATTGTCCTCGGAGCTGTGGTCACTGGATCTGTGGTCGCTGCTGTGATGTGGAGGAGAAAGAACTCAGGTAGGGAAGGGGTGTAGGGTGGGGTCTGAGTTTTATTATCCCACTGGGAGTTTCAAGCTCCAAGTAGAGATGTGCCCTGCCTTGTTACTGGGAAGCACCAGCCTGGGCCCTGTGTGCCAGCACTTACTCTTGAGTAAAGCACCTATGACATTGAAGGACAGATTTATCACCTTGAGGATTGTGGTGATGGGGACCTGATCCCAGCAGTCACAGGTCACGGGATGATCCCTGCTGAGTACAGAACTCAGAAGGACAGTTGGTCCGGAACCCACGTCTCCTTTCTTCATGTTCCTGATCCTGCCCTGGGTCTACAGTCACGGTTCTGCAAACTTCTCTGGGATCCAAGGCCTAGGGGTTCCTCTCAGACCTCATGGCCCTGCCTCTTCCCTGGCCTCTCACAGGACATTTTCTTCCTACAGATAGAAAAGGAGGGAGCAACTCTCAGGCTGCAGGTAAGTATGAAGGAGGCTGATCCCCGAAATCCTTGGAATATTGTGGTCAGGAGCCCATGGGGGAGTTCACCCATCCCACAATTCATTTTCTAGCCACATCTCCAGTGGACTCTGACCAAGTCCTGTTTATTTTTTCCTCCTTTTTTTATTTTATGGAATTTCAGTGGTTTGTGTTTGGTTTTGTTTTTGTTTTGAGACACAATCTGGTTCTGTTGCCTGGGCTGGAGTCCAGTGGCAAAATTTTGGGTCAAGTGCTCCTCCCACCACAGCCTCCCAAGAAGCTGAGATTTCAGGCACATGCTACCACATCAGGCTAACTTTTGTATTTTGTTGTGGAGATGGGGTTTCACCATGTTGCCCAGGCTGGTCTGGAATTCCTGAGCTCAAGCAAATCTTCCTTCCCCGCAAAGTGCTGGAATGAGATACATGAGCCACCAAGCTTGGCCAGGTCCTTTTTTTGTTCTACCCAGGCAGTAATGGTGCCCAGGGCTCTGGTGTCACTCAAGGCTTATAAAGATAAAACCCTTGAGGGAGTGAAGTGGGTTCGGGGTGGGACAGAGGGAATAGGAATGGATCGTGGGGATTCTCTGATTTGGAATTTTTGATTGTGTGATGGGCTGTTTAGAGTGTTACCACTTACCATGAGTGGCCTGAATTTGTTCATGACTATTTTTCTGTCACCCGAGACAACTGCCTTGTGAGGAACAGAGATGTAGGATTTCTTCACGCCTCCCCTTTGTGACTTCAAGTGATTCTGACTTCTCTTTCTGCAAAGGCATCTGTATATCTGGGTCCCTGTTAGCATAATGTGAGGAAGTGGAGAGACAGTCTACCCGCTTGTCCACCATGACCACCTTCCTCACACTGACCTGTGTTCCTTCCCTGTTCTAGAGGTGTGTGGCTAACATGTCCCCATCCCTGTCTCAACATCATGGTACACTGAGCCACAGTCTCTTACTTTTCTGTTAAAAATAGGAACCTGGGTCTCAATTTATTTTTTCATATTCGGGTGATGAAATGGAGTTGAGGAAGCTAAGGTCATAGCTGGAAATACAGACAGATAATTCCACAGCACATCTCTAGCAACTTTAGCCTATTTCACTTTCTAGTCTATTCCTTACCACCTGTAGTCTTGACCATATCCCTTGGAGTTGAATATTGTTTTTATATTGCTTTTGTTTGAATGTTCCCTCCAATACTGATGTTGAGACTTCATCCCTAATGTGGCAATGCTAAAAGGTGGAGCTTTTAAGACATGATTGGATCATAAGGCTCTGTCTTCATTTACAGATTAATGGATTAATGGGTTATCACAGGAATGGGACAGGTGGCTTTATAAGGAGAAGAGAGAACAGAGCTAGCCTACCAAGCCCCCTTGCCATGCAATGCCCTGCACCTCCTCAGAACTCTGCAGAGTCCCCATCAGCAAGAAAGTTCTCACCAGATACAGCCCCTCAACCTTGGACTTCCCATTCTTCATAACTATGAGAAATAAATTTCATTTCTTTACAAATTACCCAGTTTCATATATTCTGTCAAAAGCAACAGAAAATGGACCAAGGCAGGATATTGGTCCTAAGAAGTAGGGTGTTACTGATAACAAATACATGAAGACATGGATTCAGCTTTGAAACTGAGTAATGGGTAGAAGCTGGAAGAATTTGGAGGAGCAGAAAGCCTAGATTCTGGTGAGGGATTAGAAGACAAGAAGTCTAGAGAAAGCTTCAAACTCCTTAGAGACTTATTACATGGTCATGACCAGAATATTGATAGAAATGTAGACAATAAAGATCATTCTGATGAGGTTTCAGATGAGACTGGGGAACAAAGTATTAGAAATGGAACTAAAGACCATCTATGTTATAAATTCGCAAAGAACTTGGCTGAACTCTGTCCATACCCAAGCACTTTGTGGAAGGTCAAACTTTAGAGTGATGAACTAGCATATCTGATAGAAGAAATTTCCAGGCAAAATATAAAAGTAGCTGCTTGGTTTCTCTTGGCCACTTACACTGAGATTCAGGAGCAAAGAAATAAAGACAGAATATATAATTTAAAAAGAAGCAGAGCAGAAAGATTTGGAAAACCAAACCTGGCCATGTGAAAACTGGAAAGGAATGTTCAGGGGAGGAAACCAAGAACATAGCTCAGTGGCCATTTGTTAAAGAGCAAGGGATAGAAGACAACCAGATGCTCTTTCTCAAGAGAATGTAAGACCTCGAAGACATTTCAGAAATCTTTGAGGCTGCCCCTCCTATCACAGGGCCAGAGGCCTAGGAGGAGAGAATGGTTTTGGGGGATAGGCTCTCTCCAGGAGCTCACTGCCCAGGACCACGTTGGGACCCTGCTTCCTACACCCCAGCACAGTACTCACTCAGTTGTCACCCCAGCAGTGGCCCTAGGTGTGGCTTAAGCCATGGCTCCATAAGGTACAAATCATAGACCTTGGTAGCCTGCATGGGATGCTAACTCTGCAGCCTTGCAGAAAGTAAGAGCAGTGGAAGCTTCCTCCACTCAGATTTCAAAGATGTCTTTGAAGTCCTGGAAGACTAGGCAGAGACTTGTTGCAGAAGTGAAGGCACAACAGAGAGCCTCCATTAGAGTGATGCCAAGTAGAAATGTGAGGTGGAGCTGCCACAGAGAGCCCCTACCAGGGAAATGTCTAGTGGAGTCCTGGAGGCCAGGCCAACCAGAAAGAGTGGTAAGAGCAGGAGCTGATCTCCACCACGACCCAACCACCAGCAGGACCCCAGAACTGGAGTCATTAGCAGCGTGCAATGCCCACTTCTGAAGCAGAAAGCTTCAGGCATCAGCCTCCCACCCGTACTAGCAGTCACATGGGCTGCATCAAGCTAAGCCATAGACACAGGGCCACCTGAGGCCTTGAGACCCAACACCTGCTCCAGTGTGTCTAAAAGGAAACACGTGGAGTTGAAAAAGATGATAATACACTTCCCATGCACACTGTTTCTGTTAAAGACCCTTTAACAGAATCTTCTTCATTCTCCTCACACTCCCAAGATGAAATGAGGCAAACTTTGAAGTATAATTAAAGCTGTATTTGAACATCTCTTGTATTTCATTTGTGCATTTTGTGCCTTATTCTTTTTGGTTTTTAACCACTTTCAAGACATCCTTGGGCTTCCATTGCCATGGACCACCCAGAACTGCATTCCCTGATCTCTGTTCTCATTCTGGTTGTGTTGACTTTTCCCTTCTCCCTGGTTGATCCCCCTAATTACCTGAGTCCATTCTGTCAGGTGATGTCCAATGAAAAGGTAATGTGCATAGTGGCAAAGCCCAGGGAGTCCTGGGTGTAAATTTTTACTTTGCCATTTCTTATCTGTGTGACTTATGCCATGGGGATTCACTTTTCTGGGTTCCAGTTCCTCATCTTGTACATGACACCATTTTCCTGGGACAGTTATTATGAAGCTAATAGAAAGTACCTATGCTGTGGTTTGAATGTGTCCTCCAAAAAGCATGTGTTGGGAACTTAATCACTGAAGCAACCATATAAGGAGGTGGAATCTTATGACAGGTGTTTAGGACATGAGGGTTCCAACTTTATGAATGGATTAATACTGATCATAGAAGGTCTTGAGGTTGAGCCCTTGCCCTCACTCACCTACTTGCGTTAAGTACTAAGTCAATTAGGTTCAGGAGTCTGGTGGGGCACTTTTAGAAATTACAATAATAGGGACTCTCAAGAGGTAGACTTTTGTTTTTCCTTTTTCCTTTTTTGACAAAGGGTCTCACTCTGTCGCCCAGGGTGGAGCACAGTGGCGTGACAATGGCTCACTGCAGACTTGCACCCAAGGCACAGGTGCTTTTCCCCTCAGTCACCCGAGTTGCAACTACAGGTGAATGCCACCACACCTGGCTATTTTTGCCCAGGCTTGTCTTGAACTCCTGGCCTCAATCCACCCAACTTGTCCTCCCAAAGTGCTGGGATTACAGGCATGAGTCACTGCACCTGGTCAGTAAATAGGATTCTTGCTCCTAATGCATGGCTCTTGTGGAGTTTGGGAACAAGGAGAGTGGTTTATCTTCTCCTGATTCCCTTCAGTTGAATGAACAGAGATAAGTAATTCAGTTTGAATAAAAAAGAGAAATTGCCTCCACTTTGGTAGTTATGCTGCATATTGGTGGTATTGGTACTACTATTGATAGTTATGGTAAGTATTGACAGGCTACAATCTGCAGCTAGCTGTTAGAAAGTGCTTAGTACAAAGAAGGGATTTACCAGAAAGGATAACTCTCTCAGCTAGTTATTTCACACTGAGAAAACTGGATGTGAGGGGATTTGTTTTCATTATAAAAATCAGCTCTGTTTAACAAAAACAGAATGAAAGCCACATGTGCAAGTTAAATGTTTCCTGTAGCCATACTAATAACTTTTTTAAAAACAAGTGAAAATTTGTAATATTGTTGTTTTACCCAATATAGCTAATATATAAGCATGGCCACATATACTCAATATAAAAAGTATTCTTTACTTTTTACTTTTTTATACTAAATCTTTGAAACTTGAAGTGCTTCTTATATTCAGTTCCTCCCTTGCT